TGCACAGGTTTCCATCTGCCTGCCACAACTGAGAGTCCACCGATTCAGCTGGGTGCTGCAGGGAGCCTCTGTGCAGGGAAGCCCAGCTGCTTGGAGGCTGCACTACCAGTTTGCAGACTCACTGCATGGCTCTCTGCTAACAAGGAAAGGGAGCTGGGCAAGGGAGCAGAGCTGTTGCTTCACGCTGCTGATACTGTCCCAATCCCAGCTGGGCTTCCTGCACAGCTCCTTCTCCCAGCTGTAATATTCCATTCTTCTAAGATAAGCCTTTGTTTTCCACTTGAATGAGGAAAAAACCCTCTTCTTGGAATTGAATAAATATGGTAAATACCCAAGGTTCTATTATTTTCAGTAATAGCTGAGTACTTCCAATTCAATTTAAAATTGGGAAGCTGTGTGTGGTAAACATAAGTCCTTGGAAGAAATTTACATCGTAGTACTGGATTGAAATCTTTTGTTCATGTGAAATAAAGTAGCTTTACCTCAAACTATTTTTTCAGCCAGTAATTTACCCAATATTCTATTCTTCCTTACTGCTCCCTCCCACCCCACCCTGCCAAAAAAAAAGAAAAAAAGTAACTGGCTGGAGGAGTCCAACCTAGGTATACAACAAACAGGCTTTACTGGGGGTGGGAGGAAAGATTCTTCCTCTAATAAACTAACAGATCATGAGTAATTTGGTCACCAAGTTAATCTTGATCAAACTTTTCTTGCAGAATATCTAATTGTAAGCATTTGTTCTTACTCTGAACAGTTAAAGTAATGATTTTCAAAAAGACACTCCTATCTGGAGTTTTGATGATGGACTATTTTTGGAATTGCTTACTGTAAATATTTGTTAACATACTGGTTTTTGATTAATTGTCCTTTTTTAATGAAGTCTTTTGAGAGGTTAAATAAGGAAAATGGTGCTTTTGGAGTTTAAAATGTTGTAACTTGTAGATTCACATTTTCACTCGCCATGTTCAGCTATTTCCCTCCACCCGCCCACCTCTTAAGAGCATAGTTTTTTCACACCAGCACATAATACATAACAATCAACTGTGCTTCCATGATGCACATGTGAAATGTTATGATTTATGTTTGGGCCTCATACTGTGACATTCACAATCTGGATTTATGAATCTCTAGATAAAACTAGAAACCACACTCAGTTTTAAGGTAAGAAACTATAGCTGTCTACCTGCAGAATTAAATGGGGTAAGATGTAATATTGGAAAACACAAACTGCTACTACTATTACCTTAATCCTGTTTGAAGACCTTGTTGCAGATGTTGAAGACCTTGACAGTGGTCCCATTACGCAACATTAAACTGTTTTGCACAGATATAGTCACTGCTGTGGCGACCCTGTGAGGAGCTTTATGCACCATTTTACAGATGTCTCTGGAACCAAACAGTTTATGATGATTAAAGTCCAGGACATAATTTAGTAGAAACCAGATTTTAAATACAGGAAATAACTTTAACTGAACCTTTAGGCAATGTTAAAAAAAGAAAATATACTAGTCTTATACCAGTTCTCTGGAACTAGAAAAATATAAGCTGCTTTAAATTTGGGCTCGGGATAAATAAAATTAGAAAAGCATTTCCCATTTTCAGTGTACTGAGCAAAATAAGCGTGACTTAAACATTCCAACTATAATTTAAATGCTTTGCTATACAGGCTTTTCAGTTTTGTGTCTTTTTTCCTGTATCCTTCAAGTTTTGCTACACTTTAAATACAAAATTAACTCCTAAATTTTAAATATTTGCCAAAGTCCTTAAGGTAAATCATACTGTGTTGCAGTTCCTGATAAGGTAAGTCTATTTTAGAATAACTCTTTTGAGGAAGTTCTAATAAATTCCTAAAACAAATTCTCGTAAGATTGATTGTTCTGAACTAAAAAAATTAATTTTTAACTCTGTCATTAATGTTTACTGTTATATAGTTTTGTACGAGGTTGGTCTGAAGTATTATACTTGAGGAAGTTATGAGAACTGTGGTATTTATCTAGAGCCCTATTCACAAATTGAAAAATCGTATAGCCTGCATCTTCCAGTACTTCTTTTATACGTTGTCATATAAAGCTACCCATTTCTGCATATTTAGATAGAGTTCTTCATATGTGTGGAAATTCTATAGCTGCTGTTTTGGAGCAACAGGTATTTGTATTTACATCTAAACAGGATTAATCTTTCTGGGCATTTATAGATTGAGCTTTAGTTTTAAAGCACCCCACCACCATTTTTTCAGCACAGGGATGCTGATGCACATGACACTGGAGTCTGGTGGAGCACAGTAATTTCCACGCTGTGGCAGACTCGATTAATCAAGTCTGCTCCAATACGCTGGAATTATAGTGCATTGGAGCAGCCTCCCTGCATGTGTGTAAGTGCCCTTTATGTCTGTGCTCAAGTGATCTCAACATAGACATGCTGGCCGTCCTGACATGCTTTCCAGAAATCTCTCAGTGCCTGTTGCATAACTCCCTTATTCCTGGAATAAATGCATCTAAAATTGGTGTGTATTTTAAAACATCTCCACACTGTCAATTCCACTGAGACCCTCTTTATTGAAAGTAAGTTCAGGAACATTAATACAAATGACTGTATTCCGAAGTGAAATTTTCCACTGTTTGTTGCTCACCATTTGGTCTATAAAAGTTTTTCATAAAAATGCAATTTTATTTGGGAATACCCATATTCAAAGAGTTTTTCTCAGTCCAATTTTCGCATTCTCCCATTTTGTATTTATATTCCAATTGATGTACTAGTGTCTGTTATGCCTGTGTTAATGCAGAGATTTTGACTGATTTACACCTCTTACCATTTGTACAACTGCCATTCAGTTTTGCCATTGTAAATTGTCTTAGTTTTTAAATTAGAAAATTTAAGTGTTTGAGAAACTTCTTATTGGCAGATCTTTTTTTCCTTTTGCTCTTAGCTTTCATGTTACACTCAGTCTGAGAATTAATCAGCTTTCTGTTTTTGCTGAAATTCAAATGCATGTCTTGAGCTTTTTAGAGTAGTTGGCATAAATTTGTATTTAAAATGGGCATCTTCATTTTAAAATCTAGACTTGCAACAGCATGTAAAGCTTTCCCATGCTAACGTAACAATGTGATTGCAGTATGCCATTTTTTAATAGGTAGCTTTCAATATGTTTAGGCTTTTTAGAAATGTCTTAATCTCTGAGCATGTTGTGTGCCATGTCATCTCTTATGTGGGGCTTTGGTACACAAGTATTGCCAGTAGAACTTGCTTATATAGTAGTCCAAATGAACTATTGTTAGGAGTACTTCCTGATTGATTTAACACTACACATGAGTGTAAGAGTCAACTGGATCAGGCATTTAGAAAAATGATATTGGGAGGTAACTTTTTATATACCAGTTTTATCATTTTTGTGAAGTTTTACTTTAATGGTTTCAAAGACTGAAACTATTTTAAAATATCAGCACTTCAAAAATGCAAAATCTAGTATTCCCTCTGTGTAGACCCTTTTTTTTAACATTTGGCTTCAGAGCAATACTGTCATCAACTTGGAATTTCCTACACTAAATTGAGATGAACTTTTCTTGCTCTGTCCAAAGCAAGATGAGTATGTATAACAGAGCATTTCTTCTTCAGAATAATGACTTGCTTGTTTAACCAGTATGCAGAATCTCAGCACATTTATACACATACTTTTTGGTCCCACAACTTTTTTTGGTCTGATCTGCTGCTTCAGAGCAGGCTAGATTAATCGAGTGCTGACATGCACTGCACTGCATTGCATGCAGTTTTATAAGTGGTTAAATGCATGTCAGCACGCAGAAAATGGTGGTTGTGCACTTTTGAACTAAAGCATCTTTTATGTATGTTAGTTCAAAAATGCTCTGCTGTCATTTTCTCAGTGCCCAGTGCTGCAGCACTTGCATGTGTAAAAATGTCCATATTCTAGTGAATCCTCTTGTAAGTCCTCCAGACCTATTAATATCTACCAACATTTTTTTTCTCAACAAAATTATTGGTATATATCACAAAAAAAACTTGAAGTTTCCTTTTTATGTTTCTATTTAATAATCCTGACTTGGACCACTGGGCTGCAATATAGAGAAGGGATGATTATAGAAAAGTGCAAAGGAACATTTTCCAACGGGGAGTCTCAGGAATTTTTTAAATTTGAAGCTCCCATATATATCATATCAGTTATCTCCCTCTCACTCACTCACATGTATATATTTTTGCAGTGTACATGTGTGCATGCATGGTTTATATATAAATATGCATGTGTGCGCGCGCACACACATTTTGCAGTGTGTGTGTGATATAATTGATATGGTATGATATAAAAATGTCTACCAGTAGTTAATGTTACATGACTTTTTAAATTGCTGTAAAGCGGCCTATTCCAGGAACTGGAAACCTTTTAAACTTCAGAAAGCGTATGAATTAAAGGAAGTCTCAGTTCTCATGTTGTTGTTCTTGCTGTCGTCATTATTATTATTATTGATGATATCAGTTCCTCAAATGAAGTCAGGATTTAGGGGAGGGGAGTACAGAAATTCCAGTCTATCTAATGGTGATGTTTACATCAGAATTTTCAGTCTTCATTTTGGCTTTTAGCTTCTCGCTACTTTGAAAAATAATAGTACCAGGTTAGAGGAGTAGTTTATTCAGATTTTGTATTTGACTGAACATGAAAGTTTTCTATTTCATTTGTTTACTGCAATACTTTTACATGCATTAATTTCTGATGTTACATGAACATGCTGCTCAGAACCCTTATACAATAAGAATCAAGTTTACCTTTTATACCTCATACCTAAAACCTAAGTACTAAACTGTAATTCCACCAAAAGTGTATTGAGTGGGTTTGGCAAAAGACTATTCCTAGTGTGTGACTTGTCTTGCAGAAGTAAAATAAATTCATGTTGTATAAGGGACTCTACCTATGCAATTTAACTTGGTTCTTTTACTATATTTTCTTCTCTCTTTATCCTTTTTAATTTCTGTTTTTAAAAACTGCATTCAAGATGCCTTTGCAGCTTCTCCTGGTGAAGCCCCTGCAGCACCTGAGGGGGCAGCAGCACCAGCTACCCCAACCCCTGTAGCAGCAGCTCTTGATGCATGTTCAGGAAATGGTGGGTTTGATGTCATTAGATAGTGTCTTGTTTTTGTGTTGTAGCATTAAACTACATGGCAGTGTGTCTCAGTTTTCTTTCTTTCTTTCCCCCCCCCCTTCTAAAATGTTTGATCACTTTCCTCTCAGTACAGAGTAATTTCTATTATTGATCAAAACAAAGCACTTAAACAGAATGCTTCTCAAAACTGCACATTTTTTCTTTCCAAGTCCCAGTGTATTTATTCAGTAATATTACTGAATTAGTTCATAGTTTCTAGGATCAGAAGGGACAGGAACAGATCATCAAGTCCGACCCCCATGGTCAATTATTTTAACCATGTTTGCAGAATGTAAATAGTAGCAAACTAATGTTCTGTTAACATGTTAAATGGACTTCTTCTATGTTTCCTAAGATGACCCCCCCCCCTCGCCCATTCTTTCATCTGTTGCATTTAGGTCTTGCCAAGCCAAGCTTCCAGAAAGCTTTGCTTTTCAAGTCCCCATGCTTTCTGCCATTTGTTTGTTTAAAAACAAAAGTGGAACCTATCCAGATAAATAGGATAGACATAACAGAAAACTGGCTATTTAGTGTGTACTTACTATGTGTATATTACCCATAACTGTTTTATCTCCAGCTTCCTTACTTACTGATCCTATATATATATCTTCCACTTTCCTTTTACAAGACCCTTTTGCCCCATCTGAAGGTAGTGCAGAGGCTGCTCCTGAGCTGGACCTCTTTGCTATGAAGCCAACAGAGACCAGTGTTCCTGTAGTTACCCCTACAACTAGTGCAGCCACTCCAGCTCCTGCAACTACTCCTTCTCCAGCTGCTGCTGCTGCTGCTGCTGCTACTACTGCTACTGCCACTGCCACTGCCACTACCACTACCACATCTGCCACCACTTCTGCTCCTCCTGCTCTAGATATCTTTGGTGGTAAATTGTTTTTAACTCTTTGATTCTGGTGGCTTTATATTTGGTTTGTCAAATATTCAGTCCATTTGTGCATGCATACTGTATGTTAGAAGGTTCTCTACATGGTGAGAAACCTCTCTTCATACATTTCCAAACATGCTGATGTGCAAAACCGAGAAGTTACTGCTTTCAGTACTGTCTTCCAAAATGAGTTAAAGACATGTATATTCTTGGTCTTAGATTTATTTGAGTCTGTTCCTGATGTTCCTGCACCACCTAAACCAGATGCTACTCCTAGCATAGACCTGTTCGGTACAGGTAAAGATTAAAAGATCCTTTCCTTTATTACCCTACTCATTTGATACTCTTTTTTTACAGTGTAAGCTGACTTTGAGTTAAACACTGTACTTACCTCGACTGTTTTTTTTTTCCTTTCTTTTTACTTCTCTGGAAGATGCTTTTTCATCTCCACCACATGGAGCTTCTCCTGTGCCTGAGAGTTCTCTTACTGCTGATCTCTTATCTGGTGAGTGCTTGTTTCACAGGACATGCTATGGACCTTGTGTTCCCCATAATTCTTTTTCCTCAACACATTTCCTAAAAATAAAGGTAGGCCTAGCTTAAGAATCCCCTTTCAAGTTTTTCAAGTCTGTAATAATCAGAGCTCTTTTTCAGACACTAAGTTGTGGATGTCATCCTAAAAATGCATTGTAGTTCAAAATCTCATTAACTCTAGGGACAGATATTACACACAAACTGGTTTAAACCTGTAACAGAACAGAAGTTCAGTGCATATAAACCAGTTTTAAACTGGTTTGAGAAATCTGGTTGAATGTAGTAGCAGACATAACTGACTTGGGTCAAACAAGTTTCTGCAATGTCTATCCCAGACCCCTTCCTGGTTTAAGTTAAATCAGAGTCCCCCAGATTCCTGGCATGTTCCCTGGGCTGGGCAGAGTACTGTGCTCCAGAGAGCTGGGCTGGCCCCTCCCTTCTGCTCTCTGGCTTCAGCTCCTGTAGAGGCTGCACATACAGCAGGCTTTGCCTGGCTTCCTCTGGCTCCCCCTCACTCCCTGCTCAAGCAGGGATCCCCCCTCCCCTCTGCCTTACACAAACACATCTCAGCATTAGCTAGCATACCACATGCTGACTACAGCCATGCTGTGGGAAACGGGACAAAGGCAGACAGGACTATGTTAGCTTAGGGCTTTCTGGAGCTAATCAACACGTAGCTGGTAATATCCTTGTGTTCCTTCCTTGGAAACACTGTTTAAGAAGAGCTTGAACTAATGAAGAGAGGCTGTTGTTTTCTTAATTGGCTGATAAATAGTTAGGGGTGATTAAACACTGTTATCAACTCCCTGCTGGGCTGCTCAGGAGGGGGAGAACCCCTCCCTAATCAGAGTGATGTGCCGGGGCCTGGCCACAAACTCCCTCAGCTAAGCACTGTGGAAAGGAAGGGAGGGCTGCTCTAGAGACCTCCACCTTCTAGCCTGAGCCACTGTAGATGTGCTGTCATTTCTTCTGTCCAGAGGGGATGTCTTTATGGTTACAAACCAGTTCAGCCTAGCCAGGTTAGACTAATCTGCAAAGATTGAATCAATTCAGGCTCAGGCTTTTTGAATGTTTCATAGTTTCATAGTTTCTAGGGTCGGAAGGGACCTGAGCAGATCATCTAGTCCGACCCCCTGCCATGGCAGGAAAGAGTACTGGGGTCAAACGACCCCAGTAAGGTGGTCATCCAACCTCCTCTGAAAAACCCCCAGGGTGGGAGCCTGCACCACCTCACTTGGAAGCTGGTTCCAGACCCTAGCC